GGCAGTCAGGACTCCTGGGTTCTTTCCCAGTTCTGAGGAGCTGGATGGAGGTAGGGGGCTGAGGCTAAAAACTGTGGAATGGGGTGGTACTTGGGGGGGCCCTGGGCTCATTCTGGGGTGTCCTGCTCACATTTCCACAACCCTCTAATCTCTCCCACCTTTCTCCAGCAGGGTCCCCCAGTTCCTCCTCCAGGGAGTCACCCACAATCCCCAGGGGCTGGGAAGGACGTTCCCGAGGTACATGACAAGATGAGAGCCGCGCCGGAGACGCCACCCCTGGGATAGGCTGGCCCTGCTGGCGGCGGAGGGCCTGCCCTGGGCAGCCCCACGGCGGACCCAGCCTGAGGAGACGCCCCGGTGCTGGGAGGTCCAGTGGCAGAAGGTTCCGCAGACCCAATGTGAGAGGGGAGACGGGACATCGGCCAGGAGACAGCACCAGGGCCCCGTCTGGCTCGCACCTGCCTGTCACCCTGAGGGGAGCTTGTCGTGACTCACGCTAACCTTTGGCGCCAAGGCCTCCAGCGTCCTGGAGGCCGGCCGTGCTGAGCATTATGGGAAGGCGAAGGCGGCCATCTTGGGAGAGCAGTTGATGTGACTCTCAGCAGCCAGGCCTACAGCAGCCTGGAGGCCAGACACAACAAGAATCATGGGAAGGTGAAGGCGGCCATATTGGGTGAGGGTAAGACAGCCATCTTGAGAGATCATGTGGGATGGCTCATGCCAACCCTCGGCACCAAGGCCTACAGCAGGCTGGAGACGTCAAGGGTTATGGGACGGTGAAGGCGGCCATCTTGGGCACAGGCAGGGCGACCATCTTGGAAGAGCAGTTGATGCCACTCACGCCAACCTTGAGCACCGAGGCTTATAGCAGCCTGGGGGTCGGAGATGGTAAGGGTTAGGAGACGGCAAAGGCAGCCATATTGCGAGCGGACAAGGAAGCCATCTTGGGAGAGCAGTTGACACGATTCACACCAATCTTCAGCAGTGAGTCCGTTTTCCTCCTGCTGGGAGACTGGGGGTAGGCGTGAGAGGCCACCTCACCCAGGGGATTGTGGGTAGGGGCAGACGAGCTGCAGGAGCATTCCCATTGGCTTCAGTGGACGTTGGCTCCCACCCATAATGCATGTGGTCATAGCGCCATCCAGTGGCTAAAAACGAACCATTACTTTCTAAATTTTGGAGGGAACAAACCTACTTTGTTAATTTCCTTCTAAAAATTTTTGTGGAAAGCTTGCTAATTTATTTTCTTTTTTTGCAGGAAAAAAATTGATTTTTGCCATTCTTTCTAACCACATTTTTCGGGGGGAGGGGAGATATCCATTTTTTGTCATTTCTTTCTAAATACAATTTGGGGGACGAACACCGGTTGTTGTCAATCTTTTCTACTTTTTTTGTGGGAAAGGCTGATTTTTGTCATTCTTTCTACAAAAAAAAAAAAAGAGGGAGAAATATCCAGTTTTTGTCTTTTCTTTATAAATGTTGCCAGAAGCAAATCTATTGTGGTCATTTCGCTCTTGTTTTTGTGTGTGGCAAACCTCCTAGTTCTTGTCATGTTGTTCTAAAATTTTGGGGGTGAAAGCTCCCCACACACACTTTTTGGCCTTTCTTTCGACCCTTTCATAGCACCACTTTGCCATGTGTTCCCCCAATGGATAACTGACATCCCAAATCTCTTTCTTTCTTTCTTTCTTTCTTTCTTTCATCAGTTGCGACTCTCATGGGCTAAAAAACCAAGGGCCATTTATGCTGGTATCCCACCTCCTCCCTGTCCCCCGGGATCAGACCCATGGGCCCATCTAGCCCCGTATCTGGTTTCTCACAGTAGCCAGTCCCAGCTGCTTCAGAGGAATGTACAATGGGCCCCCCTAGTGGACAGCTCTGGCATAACATGCCAGGAAAAATTGGCTCCTGACCTCCCTCAGCTATCGGTTATTCTGAGCTCTGAAGCATGAGTGTTAAACCACTGCCAGTCATTTTAATCCTTTCCTGTCTAACTCTGGCTAGTTTGATTTTTATTTATTTATTTATTTATTTCCCCCCTATGATGCCTATTAAACTCTAGTTGGCAATTTCTGTTGGCAATGAGGTCTGCAGGTTTGCGGGACGATGTGTGGGAACCCGAATAAACTGTTTTGTGGAAAAATCTGTGATTTGGGAATTTTTTTTCATTCCAAATCAGTAAAAACAAAATAAAAAAAATACATTTCCCATGAAAAGCAATTTTTGAGAACATTTCATTTTAGGCCAATCGAAAATGTTTCATTTACATAAAATCATTTCATTTCAATTTTGACTATTTAAAATTTGCTATTATAATTTAATCACACAAAATGAAATAAGTTTCAAAGTAAAATCAAAATGTTTCATATATTACATTGTTATCGGTGAATGCTGGTACATGTCAGTTTCACCAAACACACACCAACCGAGGAAAAATATTTCCATCAAGAATAATCAAAATGTACAGCTAAGCAAAACGAGTAAAATGCTGGTTTTGGATGTATTAGAGTTTGATTTAAAAATATTTACTCTGCAGACTTTGACATATGTCACTGACAATTTGTTTTGATGGTTTATAAAGCTTTAACGCTTTCAATCAAACCTCTGCTGTCTTAAATAAGGATCATTTCATCCTTCCCCTATAAGTCTCTGCAACTATGAAAATTTAAATAGATAAAAATGGGGGAAAACATGTAAACCCCATAATTTCAATGGGAAGAATTGAAAATAAAACAAACACTGATATTTTCCGACATAAAAAATAAAAACCAAGTTGCACCAAGGCCTGTTTATAAAGATGATTGGTGTCATTAGCCCCATTGTACGGATGAGGAAACTGAGGCCGGGAAAGGGACTTGCCTGAGGTCACACATAGAATCTGTGGCTGAGCAAGGATACAACCCAGGCGTCCTGAGACCCAGTCCAGAGTCTTTACCCATCAGATCATCATTCTCCTAGCTCAGCGTATTGATACAGACCTCCTCGAGACAGCAAAGGACAGTGAGCTCAGCTGAACGGAAGGGGCTGGGAACCACAGAAAGACTGATGGGTAAATGGAACAGAAAGCCAGGGGCTGGTGGGATGAGATCACAGAGCTCGTTGGGTGCACGCTACAGGCGGGAAGGAGTTTGCCTGGCTAGCCAGCCCTGGTGTGTGAATCCCCGGGAAATAACAAGAGGAGCAGGGGCGGGTGGTGGAGGTGGTGTTTGAATCCCAGATTGGTCGGTCTGTCTGTCTGTCTGTTAGGACTGTTCCTCGCTCGTAATATTCCGACATTCCATCTGTCCATATTGTGTCTGTCCATCTGTCTGTGTTGTGTCCCTCTGTCTAGGTCAAGGGTGGGCAAACTACGGCCCGTGGGCCGGATCCAGCCCGCCAGCTGTTTTAAGCCGGCCCTTGAGCTCCCATTGGGGAGTGGGGTCTGGGGCTTGCCCTGCTCCAGCCGGGGAGCAGGGTCGGGGGCTGCTCCATGTCCCTCCCGGAAGCCATGGCATGGCCCCGCTCTGGCTCCTACGCGCTCCAATGGCCCCCTCCGGTGCTCCAACGGAGAAGGGACGTGCCGCTGCTTCCGGGAACCTCTTGAGGTAAGCGCCACCCAGAGCCTGCACCCCTGAGCCTCTCCCCATGCCCCAACCACCTGCCCCAGCCCTGATCCCCCATCCCGCCCTCTGAACCCCTCGATCACAGCCTGGAGCCCCCTCCTG